TGCAGCACGTGGACGGAGGCCTCTTTCTCTGGCTGAAACTTTCCGACTAGGCTTCAGGGCCAGCGTGGGCCGGTTCTCCCAACCTGCTGTCGCGCTCCCAGGACCTCAGTCGGTTCTCCACCTCATCGCGGGCTGAAGGGGTGACAGATTCTGGCAGAAGATGGGTGGAGATTTTTAATCTCAAAATTACTTAGGCTAACCAGTGGTTCTTTGCTCTGCACATTAGAATCATGAAGGGGAGAATTTTAAAAGCCAGATTTCAGAACCATCCCCGGGGATTCTGGGCCTCGCGCCGGTGCTGCGGCCTGGGCTGGCACTTGGTAAACGGCCCCACGTGACTATTTTTAGTTTTAATTCAACCTTTCAGATGCCTTTAGAATAAGAAATCTTGCTTGTCCCACTAACTTGAGCCACTCACAGCAGAAGCAGTGGGCCAGTATTCTCTGACCTACCCTGGGTGTTCTGGTAAGGTACAGCTGGTGGGAACTGGAACATTCTTCTTGTTCTCTTAAGAATTCATGACTTGACTAAAACAAGAGGGTATGCCTGCCCTGGGGCAGTGACTTCCACACCAAACCCAAGCTCAAAAATGTCCTCTGGCCTCTTCCCAGTGTGTTCAGGGCATATAACTGGCAGTTGTGCCATACCAAGGTATGGGATAGGAGACTGGTGTGTGTGTAAACAGGACATACTGCATTGCAGGGAGGAAACCTCCTGGCTCTGTGCGTGAGAGACACAAGTTCTGAGAACCCAGCCTGCCCGCGCGTGGGAAGAGGCTACTCTCAGGACCACTTCCTGCCAGTCCCTCTTTGCTGCCATCGCTGCCCTCATCTGCTCATAGCCAGGAAACACTAGGAAAGTGAAGGTGGAAGAGGTATTGCTGAAGGAAGGGAGAGGAGCACAGTTAAGGATGCAGGGTCACACCTATCCAACATCGTGCCTTTGTGGAAATCAGTAAAAGCACCTCTTCTGCATATGCTTTGCTTGTCATCTGCCAGAAAATTGTCATAATGCAGATACAAATGCCCCACTACTGTGATCTGGACCGTGCCTCCTGGAGCTGTGTGGCACGCACCTGTCGCCCCAGTGAGGCCTTGTGGCCTCTGATGGGCGCAGAGCTCAAATAACTCTGCCCTTTCCAGCTTCACTCCTTCACTCCTTACTTGCAGACTTCCCCCCCTTCTTCACTCAGGTAGTGACACCTGTCAAGTGATGCAATAAGCATGAGTGCTAATGGGCTCCTAAGCGTCTCCCTCACCCCGAAATGGGAACAAAGTCCATCTGTCAGGGGATGTGTGTGTGTGCGTGCCCCACTTCCCAGTACCAGATGTAGTCAGGGAGATAGTTTGGATGCCAAAATGTTGGACTCTGTATATTTTTTAAAGTTCAGAAGATAATGTTCAGAAAATGTAGGCCCTGAGATGGTGGTGTTCTTGAGACCAGGAGGGAAGCGAGAGGGCGAGGGACGAAGTTGTGCGGTGTATTGGAAGGAACAGAGGGCAACCCCAGAACTAGGCTTTCTCCCTGCAGGGATTTCTATTCCTGGTACCTTATAGTTGTTCTTTTTATGTTCCTGCCGTTTCTAGGAGTGGCTATGAATCTGCTTTGAAGGACTTTATCCCTGGTGACCTGGAAGTCCAAGTTCCTGTAATAGTCTCCTTGGTCACTGGAGGGAACACTGGCATTGGAAAAGCAACTGTTCTTGAAATAGCCAAGTGATGTGAGCAGCCTGTGAACCTAAATGCCCACTGAGCCATGGAGACCAGGCTATGGCTGGTCTACACTGAGGAGGGTGCCCTGTGTCAGGAAGTCCTGGATGGCAATCTTGTGGTTGTGGGCACAGTTGTTGCCAACTTTCTGAGCTGTGCATTGAGCTTCCAGCTAGAGTTGATTAGAGAAAGCAACTGGGGCCCTTCCCTCAGCACTTAATTAATTCACAGGGGAGTAAGGGTCCCACCCACATCAGAGAGTTTTCTAATTAAGAGCAATGAGGGTATCAAGTGAACCCAGGTGACCAGAATCATCGGTGGAACTTAACAACAACAACAACGAAGTCAAACCCTGTGGACACCTGCTTTATCGCTGCCTTCCCCATGAGCGTCTCTCGAGGGGTTAGCCCAGGAGTCCACTGTCATCTGGATGTGACTGTAGTTACAAGCTAATGCTCCCAAAATAACTGGAGAGGTGAGTGTACTGAGCTATCTTCCTCCTTGCTGGTGTCTAGCTGCCAGGCTTAGAGCAGTCCCCTGCCTCCCTTTCCCTAACCTTGACTGCAGAGAGGCTCTCCAGGAGCTCTAAAGATTATTTAATCAGCTGAAGTCTTCCTCAGGGTAGATGCAGAGTGTCCTGTCTCTCCAGAGCCTCTTCTTCAGGAAGAATTAATGTTTCAGCAGAACTCAGGAAAATAGGTT